TTATTTTTCTTTCTTGATGGGTATTCTAGCTATAATCAAATTGTTATTTCCCAGAAGATCAGAAGAAGAGAACTTTCACTTATCCCTATGGGACTTTTGCTTTCAAACATATGCCTTTTGGATTGTGCAATGCATCTACTACTTTTCAATGTTGTATGATGGCCATTTTTACTGACATGATTGAGCACACTGTGGAAGTCTTCATGGATGACTTCGAAGCTTTTCGTAATTTGTTTGATGAGTGTTTAATCAATCTAGCATGTGTTTTAAAGTGGTATGAAGAAACCAACCTTGTCCTTAACTGGAAAACGTGCCACTTCATGGTAAAAGAGGGCATTATGTTAGGTCACTGAGTGTCTACGAATGGATTGGAGGTTGACAGAGCAAAGATTTATGTGATTGAACAACTCCCTCCATCAACAAATATAAAGGGTGTGAGAAGTTTTCTAGGGCATGCTGACTTTTATCACCGATTCATCAAGGACTTTTCCATGATCATCAAGCCACTATGCGCTTTGCTTTAGAAGGATGTGGAATTCAAGTTTGATGATGCTTATAATAAAGCATTTAAAGAGTTAAAGAAGTGACTTATTTTTGGCCCTATAATGATGGCCCCTGATTGGAGCTTGCCTTTTATTCCGATGTGTAATGCTAGTGACTATGCTGTGGGTGCTGTATTTGGGCAAAAGAAGGATAAAGTATTTCATCCGATTTACTATGCGAGCCGCACACTAGACAATGCTCAAGAAAATTACACTACTACAGAGAAAGAGTTACTTGTTGTAGGGTTTGCTTTTGGGAAGTTTTAATCACACTTTGTAGGAGCCAAAGTCATCGTGTTCACTAATCATCCAGCTCTAAAATATCTCTTCAACAAGAAAGACTCAAAAACAAGATTGATTATATGGTTGCTTTTGTTACAAGAGTTTGATTTAGAAATTGTTGACAGAAAGGGCCTAGAAAATCAAGTTGCTAATTATTTGTCTAAACTAAGCACTGATGCTCAACTTAAAGCTGACAAGGTGATTAATAAGACCTTTCCTAATAAGTAGCTCTTTGTTATAACTCATACCGAGGAGCCTTATGTAGGGAATTGAAAGACGACGCGCAGCGGAAAAATTTTAAAACTTTCAATCCCTTTCCGGATCTACCGATCGCGTTTAAGTCAGGTAGTAAGAAGCATTACCTTTAGGCGTTCGATTCCCTGTATGACTTGATGATTCGGCCGTTCAGGATGCTTCTGCTCACCTCCTGTGTCGTTCGAAGTCGACAACTCCGGTCGGCTTCCTCTACCGGTATCCACACGAGTAGCCTTCAACCTCGAACGGCGTGCCAGCGCCTGTGTCCGTCTAGGGTTTTAGGAATCCGTCCTCTCTCCTCTCTTTGCCGTCTCTTAGGTGTTAGTTCTCTCTCGCTTAAACCCTAGCTCCTCATATCAAATATATAGGATGCTATATAGGTTTAATTAATAATATTTAATTTCGAAATTAACTCTAAATTAATTCCGAAATTAATACAATATCAAATATTGCCTAATCAGATAAGAGAACAATTAAATAAATATAGTTTAAATTAAATCCGTCCCACAGATTTAATTCACTTATTTATTTAATAAAGAGATGACGGAATTTATATATATTTAATTTATCCTTATAAATTAATATCTCTTATATATATATATATACGAATTTATATATATATATATACACGTCCACCCTATTTATTCATTGAATCTAGACATATCTTAGATTCAATGAATCTGGACATCATAACTCGTGTTGGGCTATTTTGTGTGCGACCCTGTAGGCCCATATGAAGTTGGCAGTGGGCCATTAACTATAATGACTCACAAGTCGTAAGCGGTCTCTAGCAAGACATCACGACTACCCAAAACATATGAGGATCATTGAACGATGCAGCCTTTCATACAACCATATCACGTCCCTTTTGTCACACGACATTTTGGTCATGGATGAGGCACGGAGAACGTCATCCTCCTATTCATGACCGTTACTTTCTCGATCCCTGAGTAGTCCGAGTATAGAAATGGAACTACCTTTCCATTATAGTATGGCCATACATTTCTCAGACTCACTCATCGAGGGGCCCAGTAATGTCTCTCTACAAATGTGAGGGACAAATTCCATCTTGACCATTCACATTCCTCCGCATGAAAAACCACTAAGCCTGAACACAGTCTTTATGATCACTCGGTCAAAAGTGACTTTTGACTAGGTCAAAGCTAAGCGTTTCTCATGTAGGAATCCATGATGATCTCAGGTCAAAGGGCATAGTGACGTGGTTTGTATATGAGAGAAGCTTACGACTTAACCCATGCAGCTCTCTCATAGCGGGTCGGTCCAACACCTTGTACTCTTACATGTGCCTATGACTTTAATTTATATCTCTATATATCTTTAAAGTCATACTGGTCTTATTTCATCTTTGCTCCCACATAGATGACCGACCAGGGACATTTAGGATAAACCATGAGTTATCCAAGGATAGTTACCACAGAAAACATGCAAATAATATGATAACGTAATTGATAAATTCATAAATTAACAATGTTCAAAACATAATGATTGACCCCTAGGGCACAATTTCCAACATCTTGGTATGCTGATATCATTAATTTCATTATTTATGGTATCATTTCCCAAGATTTGAACTATCATCAAAAGGAGGAAATTCCTAGATAATATCAAATTCTACCATTGGGAGGAACCATTCTTGTTTCTTTATTATGCTAACCAACTACTGAGGAGATGTGTTTCAGAATGTGAAGAAGAAGAAATTTGAGATGGTATCATTCATCTAAATATGAAGGTTACTTTAGGGGTAATAAGACTGCTGTAAAGGTTTTGTAATCCAGATTCTTCTAGCCCACTTTGCTCAAAGACACCAATGACTTTGTATTGACTTGTGATCATGGCCAACAAGTGGGCAATATATCTAAAAGGAATGAAATGCCCCTGAATAACATGCTTGAAGTGGAATTATTTGATATTTGGGGGATTGACTTCATGGGACCATTCCCTAAGTCCTTTAACAATCAATTAATTTTGGTAGCAATCGATTACGTGTCAAAATAGGTTGAAGCCATTGCCTCCCTAACAAATAATGCCAAGGTTGTTATCCAATTCTTGAGGAAGAACATTTTACCTGATTTGGGACCCAAGGGCAATAATTAGTGATAGAGGAAGCCATTTTTACAACAATTAATTTAGAGCTATATTGAAGAAATATGGTATCGAGCACAAGATTGCTTTAGCTTATCATCTTCAAACCAATGGCCAAGTAGAGATCTCCAATTGAGAAATGAAGAAGATATTGGAGAAGACTATAAGACACACAGAAAGGGTTGGTCTACTAAGCTTGATGACGCTTTGTGGGCATACTGATCAGCATACAAAATGCCTATTAGTATGTCACCATACAGACTAGTCTTTGGAAAAGCATGCCATCTCCTTAGTGAGCTAGAACATAGTGCCTATTAGGCTATCAAATGGCTAAACTTTAAGGCAAACGCTATTGATGAGAAGTGACTCTTACAACTGAATGAACTTGAGGAATTCCGATTCAATGCCTATGAAAGTTCAAGACTCTACAAAGAAAAGACCAAGAGGCTTCATGACATGAAAATCTGATAACTCATTATTTTGAATATCCTAAAAGAATATTTTGAGTGATTTTTGGGGAGTTATCAATAGGGTTTTGGATTATTTAAGAGTTTTGAATAGAAATTAATTGTGAGCATTATTTGAGGGATTTTCTTGTAAATAGCTTGGTTTAAAATAATTAAAAGTAGCTATAGATAATTTTACAATTATTCTTATCTTAAGTAAGTTCTAATTTTATTTTATTTCCTTTTTCTTTTTATTATATTTTCTTTTAGTTTTTCTTCTCCATTTATTTTATCTTTATTTTCCCTTCCATTTTACTACCAGAAACAGCACTGTTTGGGGAATGAAGTTTTAGGGATTCCACAGATCAGATACACAGCGTTTTGGAGAGTTGAGGGCTTTGTGATGGATCACTATTCATCATCATCTTGACAGCTGCAAAAATAGTTCTGGGGGGAGCTAGTTCTGGCTAGCGAAAGGAAAACAAGGGAGGTGTTGAACCAATGTGAGGAAGGAGAGGAGTATATCATTCTTTTGCTGGAGCTCAACGGAGACAAGCAAGGAAGAGTTGGTAGATCATCTTCTTCATCTAAAAGGCGACGTGCTAGTTCGTACAAAAGGAGGAGATAAAGAAGATTGTTCATCCTCTTCTTCCTTGGTTTTGTACGAGCTTAGCTAGGGACCGATACTGTTCAGAGGATCTTCTTCTTTGCTAGATCTGAGGAGAAATGTCGACTGGTTCTGCGGAGAGGACAACAAGCTGTAAGAGGAACTTCAAATAGTGTTTTATTTCTAATCTTTCTTCTGTTCTGTCATGAATTTTGAATATGGAATTATTGGTGCTGAGATTATTATATTTAAGATCATGAGTGGCTAATTTTCTTTTTACAGCCCAGAGGAACTATGAACTTGTTAGTGGATTGAGCTTTGTTTTTATTGAATTGAGGATGCTTAATGTTAAATTTTGGTTGCTTAATTTTGTTCTTTATTGTCCATTTGATAACTGGCCACCATTAAATGTGAATTTGAGAATTAAAGTTTTTCTTGGTAAAGGAGATTTTAATTAAAACTCTTAGATTAAGTAATATGGGATTGGATGATAATCTAATTTGTAATTAGGATAGAAATATAGCCCACATAATTGTTGATGAGTGAGACTGAATTGTTTAGCCTCTTAGATAATTGTGTGAGACATTACATAATTAATTTAAGAGAGGATTATAAGTAGACCGACAAGCACTTATAGCTAATTGAACTCTAGATTAACAAAATTGACGTTAAGTTAATCAATTCAGTGAAACAAGGTTTAAAAAGCTAGTAAGGGATTAGTGACTCTAGGTTGTTCTTTTTAATATTTTTCTAGTTAATTTGAGAAAGCTTTGTTTTGTTTATTTTAAATTTCTTTCTACCCAATTTCATGAATTTTGATTTACTCAACTTAAACGAAAAGAAGATTTGTATTGCCTACTCACTAATTAATTGAGTTCTCTGTGGGATCGACCTTGATTACACTTGCGATGCATCTTAATATTTGGTAGCATCAATATTTTGGCACTGTTGCCGAGGAACTTAAGGCAATTAGTGATCAGAATTAGAAATCCTTTGGTAGTTCTTGCTTGAGTGTTTTCTTTAATCATTTCTTTCTTAATTTCTTTTTGTTTGTGGTTATTTGGATAGATAATTTTTCAGGTACCAATTATATGCCTGACAAATCCAAAGGTTCGAAGACACCATTGAAGACAAGGAGTCTTAAGGAAATCTTAGCTGAAACATCCCCTGAAAATCAAGAGAAGGAGGGTGTTAAAAGTGCAAAAGAAGATATGGCTGAGGATGAGAATAATCGTTTAGGTGTCAATGATTTTCTGGGAAGGCAATCTAGAGGTTATCAATCTGAGATCAAAGTACCTGAATTTCATGTAAACAACTTTGAGATTAAGCAAGCAATGCTCAAGATGATTGAATTGAATGGGCAATTTGGGGGAAACAGTAATGAAGATCCTAACTAGCACTTGATTCAATTTTTTGGATGTTTGTGACTCTTTCAAGCAGAATGGTGTTCTTAAAGATGTCATTCGTCTAAGGCTTTTCCCTTATTCTCTACAAGGGAAAGCTAAAGCATAGCTTAACAATTTGGAGGAAGGGAGTGTGAAATATTGGGATGATTTGAAAGAGAAGTTCAGAGCAAGGTTCTTTCCGCATAATAAGATGGTGGATGCAAGGGCCAACCTCACAAACTTCCACCAACAATTTGGTGAGCACTTGTATGAAACATGGGAGAGATTTAAGCTATTGGTTAAGTAGTGCCCGGGACATAATCAAGAGAAATGGGTTCTGCTTCAAATCTTTAGTAGCCGGTTAACTCCCCAGTCAAAATCTAAGATGAATGCCGTTAATAATGGTGGAATTACAAAACAACCAGTAAATCATGATTGGGGTTGTTTAGATGAGTTAGCGGCTGATTATAGTCAAAGCAATAGTGACAAAAGATTAGTGAAGTTTGCAGAGAAAGTCACTGAAGAGACTTCTTCACAGTTGGTGGCAGTGTTAGGTGCTATCAACAAGAGGTCTGATCACTTAGAAGCTCAAGTTAGGCACCTTAATAGTAGACCTGTGGGGTTCAACGCTTTATATAATTCTAGTGATTATTGAGAGGGTAGTCATACCACTGGTCAGTGCCTCATTTCTCCACAAGTACAGATGGTAAATTATGCTGGAAAATTCCATGGGAATAACCAGAACAATACATTTTCAAACACCTATAATCTGGGGTGGCATAACAATTCAAACCTCTCTTGGAAACATGGGGCAACACTTAATCAAGCCTTAACTTCTGGTGCAAAGCAAGTGATTCCTCTTGGTTTTTATCATTAGAAAAGAAATCTATTCCTATTCAAGAGTCTAAGCTTGATCTAGAGGCAATGATGAGTAAGCTTATGAGTTTGCAACTAAAGAACACTCAAGATCAAGCTAATATTAATTCCTCTATCAAGAATCTCGAAGTGCAAGTAGGACAAATTGCAAATGCAGTGAATGCATTGCAACAGAGAGTGTTGCCAAGTGATATTGTTCCTAACCCTCGTGAAGAAGAAATAAGGGAGTGTAAAGGTATGACTCTTCAAAGCAGTAAGGAATTACATGAGATTCCACAACCATTAAAGAAATCTTCTGATTCTAGTGTTCAAGTAACTCCTGAAGTCATGGTAGAGGAGGATGAAGAGGCTATGAAAGAAGACATTGTCAAACTCAATGAGGAGAAGGTTGGAAATTAATCTACAAGAAAGAGTGAAGCAAAGAAAAAGGCAACTAATAGGCCTCAAAATTGGGTGCTGCCTTTACCATTTCCTCAAAGATCTCAGAAGAAGGCATTTGGTGATCAATATAAGAAATTCTTGGAGATTTCCAAGCAGTTGCATATTAATATTCCATTCATTGAGGCTTTGGAACAGATGCCTAAATATGTTAAGTTTCTGAAGGAGATGTTAACTAAGAAGAATCACTTCATTGAGTTTGCAACTATAGCACTGACCAAAGAGATCACTAGTGTCATTAAGCCTAATGTTCCTTTCAAGTGTAAGGATCCTGGTTCCTTCACTATTCCATATTTGATGGGTGACAAGTTTTAATGTCGTGCTTTGTGTGATTTGGGGTCTGCTGTAAATCTAATGCCTCTATCTGTTTTCAAGAAGCTTCAGTTGGGGGAAGTCAATCCTACCACTGTTATCCTTCAACTAGCTGATAGAAGTCTCTCTTATCCCTATGGCATTATCAAAGATGTCTTAGTGAAAGTTGATTCTTTTATCTATCCTGTTGATTTTATTGTGCTAGACATTGAAGAGGATAAAGAGACTCCATTGATTGTAGGGCGACCATTTTTGGCTAAAGTCAGAGCTTTAGTGGATGTTGAGAAAGGAGAAGTGATTCTACACTTGGTGATGAGCAAATTAAAGTCAACATGGACAAAGAAATAAAGGATTCTAAAGAAAAGAAACAGTGTGCAAAGCTTGCTGTGATAGATAAGCTCAATCAAGTTGAATTAGATTCATTCACTAGTAAAGAGCCCTTTCAAGAAACTTAGAGTTGAGAAGAAGACTGTGGAGGATGCTTACTTTGCTCAAACTGAGAGCTTTCAAACTACTTCTATATCATCTCCAAAGAGACATTGGCATTGTTTATCTCAACCTCCTTGATTTGCTGACATAGTCTAGCTAAAGACTATAAACTTAGCGCTTTCAGGAGGCAACCCTAGGGTTTAGTAGTTACTTTTCTATTTTGTTTCTTTGCTTGAGTTGTTTTGATGTTTGTTTTCATTTTGTAAGACTTTAGTATCCCCATGATGATGTGATTTATTTGAGCCACAAAGATCAAGAGCAATTCAGAGAGTGCACATTCACAAACAAAAGAGGCAATCCTTCCACTTTTACTTGATTAGCTTGATATATGATTAATTGTTTGCTGCTGGGAACTGAGTGCCGGTTATAATGTGGATTTTCATGTGATTGATGTTTGATGTTGATTATAGTTTTTACTGGTTGCACTTATCTGTTTTGCTTATTTTTAGAACTCTTGGAATTTATGATTTTCCTTGCACTTGGATATGGTTGAAACTGTCATGATTTTCAGTGGATTGCTATCTTTCTTCCACTGCTTTGATTTTGTTCCCATCTTTTAAGGGAGTGGCAGTTTCATTTTTCTCCTCACTTCTTTATTTGATTGATGTGCTTATACACATTGAGGACAATGTGTCATTTAAGTGTGGGGGTGAGGGAAACCCTTGATTTTGCACAAATTTGTCCTTAAGTTTTTAGTTTTGGGGTAAATATTTGAAAATTTCTTTGTTTTTGTGAATAGTTTGGGTTTTGATTGTGAATATTACTTAAGTTGGTTTTGATTTAAACTTGAAAGGATTGGGTTTGATGAGAATTTGGTTCCATCTCTCAAGAATATTAGTAAATTGGCAAACAATTTAGTTTTGGTAAATGACTTTAGGAAATCAAAAGTTTGTGAGGATTTGAGCCTAAATTTTAATTTCTTTTAAGAGGGAGTACATTGTGATCTTATCTCTAGAACTTGTCTTGAATCTCTTTTGAGGCTTAAAATTCTTTTTGCACGCATAAAGATGATTTAGACATTCATTTTCATTCCCACTTTAGCCAAATGTCCATCCTATTTAAACTAATCCTTTGATTTACCCTTTTGAGCCTTAACCTTTTCTTGAAAGAAAATTGCATGGTTTAGATAGCCCTTTGTTTAAGAAGATGTAATTTTTCTTTCAATCTCATTATTTTAGTAAGTGCTCTATAATACTTTTTGGGAAGAGTGAAGGAATTGAAAGAAAAAAGAAATTGGTCAATGCTTTGTGATTTTGTGTAACTAGGAAAAGAAAAGAGAAATAGGAAGGAAAAAAAAGAGATGATTGAAAAGAAGAGTAGAAAAAAGAAATAAATAAATAAATAAAGAAAAGAGAAAAAAAAGGTACAGATAGAAAAAGAAAATGAAAATGAAAAGAAGAAGAAAGAAAAAAAATGATAGTTAAAAAAAACAAAGGAAAAAAAATAGCAAAGAAACTAATCAGATGGGAAAAAAGAAAAAGAAGGAGAAAGAAAGACTACATATGAGTTTGGCTTCTTGAAATTCCTTCATTTTTCTTGTTTTTATTGAAAAGCTTAGCATGTACTAAAGTTTTTCTCCATTTTCCATTTTTCACTTCATTATCCTACCTTATTCATTACAACCTTTGAGAAGTCCTTTTGATTTGTGTGTGCAATTGGATGATATAGTGGAGATTGAGATGATAAACAAGCCTATAGTAGAAGGGTTGCAATAAATGGAAATGAGTGAAACACAAGCCTTTATTGTCATAAGAGATTAGTGTAAACACTTGACTAGTGAGGTAGTTCTTATTGTGATTTATCTTTACCCATTTAATTGTTTTGCTACTTATATTTTTGGAAGATGGAAAAGAGTTCTTTAAAGATTCAATTCTTGATAGTTTGAATTGTTTCTAACTTGGTGATGTTTGCTTTAAAATTATGTCTCTTTGGTTTTTCTTAGTTGTTTTATAAATAAAAATTTTGAGGACAAGATTTGAGGCAAGTGCGGGGGAATTTGATAACTCATTATTTTGAATATCATGAAAGAATATTTTGAGTGATTTTTGGGGAGTTATCAACAGGATTTTGGATGATTTAAAAGAGTTTTGAATAGAAATTAATTGTGAACATTATTTGAGGGATTTTCTTGTAAATAGCTTGGTTTTAAATAAATAAAAGTAGTTATAGATAATTTTACAATTATCCTTATCTCAAGTTAGTTTTAATTTTATTTTTTTCCTTTTTCTTTTTGTTATATTTTCTTTTAGTTTTTCTTCTCCATTTATTTTATCTTTATTTTCCCTTCCATTTCACTGCTAGAAATGGCACCATTTGGGGAATACAGTTTTGGGGATTCCACAGATCAAATATGTAGCGTTTTGGAGAGTTGAGGGCTTTGCGATGGATCACTTTTCATCATCATCTTGAAGGCCATAGAAACGGTTCTTGGGGGAGCTGGTTCTGGTTGGCAAAAGGAAAACGGGGGAGGCACCGAACTGGTGTAAGGAAGGAGAGGAGTATACCGTTCTTTTGCAGCAGCTCGACAGAGACAATCAAGAAAGAGCTGATGGATCATCTTCTTTATCTGAAAGGCGTCTTGCTGGTTCAAACAAAGAGAGGAGATAGATAAGATTGTTCATCCTTTTCTTCCTTGGCTTTGTACGAGCTTAGCTGGGGACCGACACTATTCGGAGGATCTTCTTCTTCATTGGATCTGAGGAGAAACGCTAGCTGGTTCTGCGAAGAGGATGATGAGCTGTGATAGGAACTTCGAATAGTGTTTTGTTTCTAATCTTTCTTTCGTTCTGTCATGAATTTTGAATATAGAATTATTGGTGCCGAGATGATTATATTTAAGATCATGAGTAGCTAATTTTCTTTTTACAGCCCAGAGGAACTATGAACTTATTAGTGGACTGAGCTTTGTTTTTATTGAATTGAGGGTGCTTAATGTTAAATTTTGGTTGCTTAATCTTGTTCTTTATTGTCCATTTGATGACTGGCCACCATTAAATGTGAATTTGAGAATTAAAGTTTGTCTTGATAAAAGAGATTTTAATTAAGCTCTTAGATTAAGTAATATGGGATTGGATGATAATCTAATTTGTGATTAGGATAAAAATATACCTAATTACCCCATATAATTATTGATGAGTGAGACTAAATTGTTTAGCCTCTTAGGTAATTGTATGAGACATTACATAATTAATTTAAGAGAGGGTTATAAGTAGACCGACAGGCACTTGTAGCTAATTGAACTCTAGATTAACAAAATTGATGTTAAGTTAATCAATTCAATGAAACAAGGTTTAAAAAGCTAGTAAGGGATTAGTGACTCTAGGTTGTTCTTTTTAATATTTGTCTAGTTAATTTGAGAAAGCTTTGTTTTGTTTATTTTTAATTTCTTTCTACCCAATTTCATGAATTTTGATTTACTCAACTTAAACAAAAAGAAGATTTTTATTACCTAATCACTAATTAATTGAGTTCTCTGTGGGATCGATCTTGATTTGCCACTTTCTTTTTTTTATAACCCACACACTTATGGTGCATCTTAATATTTGGTAGCATCAAAATCCTTGCTAGAACCTTTCAACCAAGTCAACAAGTTTTATTATACAATTCAAAGCTCAAACTTTTTCCTGGGAAGCTAAAGTCTAGGTGGTCTGGTCCATTCACTATGGTGAGAATTCATGGCCGCAGGGTTGTAGAGCTAGAAGGAAAAGATGAAAAGAAATTTCAAGTCAATGGTTCAAAGGTTAAAGCATTATTGGGGTAGCTCGGTTGATCGTCAAACTGTCACCTTGCCCTTATCAGAAGACTCTTAAGCAAATGAAGAATTAGGTTGAAGATTATAAACCAAGCGTTACTTGGGAGGCAACCCAAGCTTTGAACTTTTCTTTTACATTTTTCTCTTGTTTTTTATTCTATTTTAGTAGTTTTATGTTTGATCTCGATTTTTGTAGGCATGAAGGATTCTTCCTAAAAGTTTAGATCCTTGAAAGAAGAATGGCTGTGTTTAAACATTACATCTAGGGAAGTACACCTAAACCTAATCTCAATAAAGTTAAACTCTACTCCTTAAGCCTTAACTGTGCCAGTATCATTGTTTCTAGATAAGCAAGTGCCTCCAATATGAATTTGAATGATATTGAGGCCTGATTGTTGTGTTGTTTTTTTTATTGTTTACTTATGTTTGTTTGTTATTATGATTATGTTTTTATGTGGTCTTATTTTCTTCTATTTAGCGATTGTGGTCTAGTAGGTTATAAGTGTTTCTAGTTGTTTCAAGGGTTTTTATGCTGGTTTTGTAATAAGCACTATGGCGTGTTCCTTCAGGAGCCATAGTGGATTGTTTTGTTGAGGGCACCATCTCTGTAATAGGCACCACAGCTGTTACACACATACGCCGCAGCAACTTTTCTTCTTGTTGTGGATCCCGTTTCTGTAATAAGTACCGCGATGTGTATCTTCATAAGCTGCAACGGTCACTTTTGTTAACCCTATTTTAGCCTCTGTCTTAAGTGCCACAACGTACAAAATCTTTAGCTCTTTGTAATAACCACCGCAGTGTATTGCAATATGAGTTGCGGCTTTGGCCTTTTCACTAGCATCATCCTAGTTCAGTCCGAGGCACTGTGGTGTGAGATCTTAGGCGCCGTGGTGTGCTCTGATTTCTTAAGCTTAATTTTTTTCTGTTTTCAGCTGCTGCCCATAAATATTTTCATATTTCCCTCCTTAACCCTATATATCTAGTCGATTTTTGGGTCTAATTCCTTCCTCCTAATTTAAAACCCTAACCTTTTTGTCTTTTTACTCCTTCAATTTACATATTTTCCCCTTTCCTTTATCCAACACACCCCCAGATTTACGGTTTTACTCTCTCCTTCTCCCCTTTCGATTTTACTCTCTCCTTCTCCCACTCTTTTTCATTCTCCCACTCTCTCACTGTTGACCCTATCTCCCCCTCCTTCTCTCATAGTCGTCGCCATCCTCTCCACCTCTAGTGGCACCAGCGTCCATCCTCTGGTTGATTGTCCTTCTACCTCTATCGTCTACCCATCTTTCTTTCAAAGGTATTTTCTTTCTTTCTTTCTTTTAATTTGGTTAGTTTATTTCTTTTTAAGTAGGGAAGTGTGATCTGGGGAGATGTATTGTAGTTTAGAGTGAAGTTGGACCAGTAGATAGCGGGAGTTTGATTTTTTGAGGTTGATTGTGGTTAGGTTTGGGGGTTAATGTTGAGAATGCTTTTAAAGTCAAATTTCTATAAAATACCTTCTGTATTATTTGAAAGAGAAATGTACTACTTTCAATTGTGAAAAAGCCTATGACTTGGAACATAGATAATAGTTGTGAAGATTCTCAAATGAAACTTCGAGATTGCCCAAGTTGTGTTCTAAAATTGACACTCAATTTGAAGTGTTGTTCTTTTTGAAAATGAGTTGACTGAAATGCCAAATTGTTATCTTTCAATATGAGTACTTAGGCAGGATCTTTTGAAATTAGTTTGAATAGGAATCTACTAATGGATGCCTATCTTTGAAACCCTTTCTCAAAACTTTTATGCAACTCTGTTTGGATTAAAATTAGAGAAGTAGATTTGAGTTTCAGGGTAAGCATGAATTGATGGTGGAGTAGAGTTGAGTAATGGTGAGAGTGTGCTTTTAGGATTTCTTAAGGATTACATAGCTTCAACTTTTGATCTCAATCTTTAATCTAAGTTCAGGGGAGAGCTTTTTTTTCTTAGGATAGCTTAGTTGTCTTTCTCTTTTGTTTTGTGGTTGTGGTGTTTTGTTTACTTATTTTTTATGTGGTGTGCTCTCTTCATTTGTGCAGGAAAACAAACAAATGGCCCCAAAAAAGAAAACCCGAGCCAACATTAGTTTCGACCCTACCACTTAGAGTTTGGACCTCCTCTATGAGAAATTAGACAGAGAGATACACCACATGAGGGCATAGATAGAGGTGTATGGAGGAGCTATTGGTTCAAATTGCTCAGAAGCTGGAAATTGAAGTACCAGATGTTGAAAACACAAGTACCAAGGCTCAGGGTGAAGAAGAGTTGAATGAGGAGGAGGATGAAGTTAAGGCTTCTAGCGGCGGTGTTAATGAAGATAAAGACATGGCCGTAGATCTACTTGATAAGGATGATACAGACTAAGGGGGTAAGTAGACAGGGGATGAGGATGACTAGCTGGGGCCATTTGTTGTTGTTGCTGCTACATGTTTATTTGCTTCATTTTGTTGTGACTGTTGTTGCCTAGCTTTGTGTTACTTGTTTAATTGTATTGTTGAAAGGCTACTGATGGCCTGGATTGCTAGTTACTTTGGTACAGGATAATTAATTATGAACTGCAAATGTGAATGCCTATATATAAGCTAATGATAGCTTATTCTTGACAAATGATATATGTTGGTTCTATTTTGTGCATATTCTGCTAAACTGACTTGTCTAACCTGTGTGAATAGCTCATATCTGTACAAGTGCAGGTACACTAATTTTTGATCTCTCATACACTAAATCTTTTGATTTTTGTGTTTTAGCACATGAAGAAGACCTCCGTATAATTTGTTGACAGTGAGGACACTGTCCCTTTACAGTTTAGGGGATGTGGAGGTGATTTTTGAATGACATAGATCACTATAACACTTTTTGATGAGCTTGAAGCAATTTTTTTTTTGGCAAATTATGGTTGATTTGTTAGAATTTTGATGTAAAACTCGAGTTGAGCATGTTTAATGTTTTAAATATAGATTGGACTAATGAATGATTTGTTCGAGTGCTTGTGGTCCAATGATATGAATGAGTTGTTTAGTTAGTATTCCTTGTTGAAAGTTTGGTCAATAGCAATTATGGATGATTCATTTCTCTAAAGCATGTTTCTTAGTAGTTTGAGTCAAAAATGATGCACTTGTAGAGTCATAAGTGTTTTGAATGCATTCAACTAGAGAATTAAGTGCAAATCTATTTATATGTTTGTTTTCAACTCCATGATTTTAGAAACTTGATCCAGATCTGCTCAAAGTTTATAAATCACTTTACATGATTTTAAAAAATGATCAGGGTATTCTTTCAATGCGATTGTACCTTTCAAGCTGACTCTAATGGAATATTATGTGCTTTGCACCCATTTTGGAGCTTGGAAAAACCATGAAAATTTTCATTTGAACACATAACCATTTCCTAAGCCACTTAGCTTGAAAAACCATGAACTATCTTGCTTTGAGATTAAATGAACTCATTTAATGGAGACAGTTAGTTTTGATTATGAGAAGAGGAAGTATTGATTGTGGAGTTTGACAATTGTCAGGTCAAAGAAACAAAACTAAAAAAAAAAAAAGAATTTCAACAGGGCTCGGCAATGAGAAGAGATTAAACTTGGTTTTGACTTGAGAAAGCTTCATCAATATTTGTGAACTTTGGGCTAACTTAACTTATTATTAAACACTAAATGAGAAGTTACTAATCAAGTTTTATGAAGTACAATAGTGAAAAATAACCCTAGATCCTTATTTGTTTCAAAGTCAAATTTATTTTCTTTCAAGTTTAATCTTTGTTTTCAAAGTACATTAAACAACTTTATTTAGAATAATTATTTCACTTAACCTAATCAAGGGCACAATTATAATTTTTAACTCGTTTGGTCTTAGTCTCTGTGGGAGCTATACTTTTTATACTACTTGCGACTCGTTTGCTTGCAATTAAGCTAATCGGCGAACAAAAGATTACAGTTTGCACCTTCGATATGCTCTTGTAAACATTCAGTTTGCCAATTCAAAAAAAAAAACATACAAAAGGGAAAAAAATGGCATTGATGCGTTAAAATTGAGTCAGTGAAAAAAGAAGAAGCTCATTTTTAAAAATTTTTTTAACTTTTTTACAAAAAAAAAAAGAGAGATATGTGTTAATATCAAAATTTGTAAGTAACATTAGTTTACTATTTGGAAACCTTGTAAAGCACTTTAAAAAATTACTTTTAAATGAATTAAGACAAAACTCATCTTACGTAATTTTTTCTAATAACATAAAATTATTTCTGAAAAGCTAATCCAAGTGCTTTCATTTAATTGACGTTGGCTATCTTTTATAGTCTGTCTAGTGTATATGCGGAAATTAAAATGGAGAGGAGAAGAAATTTTAATAAGCTTGATTTTTAAAAAAAATTGAGAAGTGGGGTTAAAAAATTTTAACTAGTTTTATTACTTTTTTATCTCACAATTTTTATTAAAATTTTATAACCCAACTTCTTCAAATTTTGTTAAAATCAAACTCATTAAAATTTATTCTCCGCTCTAATTTCTGCATACCAAACATATTTAAGAGGAACATTGCATCAAATAGTTCACAATACTCGGTACTCAAGGGAAAGTAGATTGAAGGCAAAACGCATTTTGACCCTGGCAATTATAAACAATAAACATTTGAATATGAAATAAATAATTGTATAAAGCCACAGCTGAATCGACCTTTTATTAAGGGACTGTTTGGATTACTGGAAGCACTTTTTCGCAAATTGAAACAAACTTCTCCATATATTTACTTTGTACACTATAAAGTCACTTTTAAAACTATGATTTTATTTCCATTCAAACACCCCTTAAGTCTAATAATCTTATAAATTATGTTATGATGTTATCTTTATATGTGTGTTGCCTAATAGGAATACTCCTAGTATAATAATTTAAATGAAATCTTTTATAAGTATTAACTTCTTCTAAACCAAAAAATAGTCACTTGCAGTATATAATTGAAATAAAGTCCTTAATTTGTCACTTTGGGGTTACTCTAAAAATTAACTGAATTAATGCAATATAGTGCACAATCCAGGTCATATTCACTTTAAGGAGCTGAAAACGAGATTAAATCTTAGTAAATAAATGCAAGTAAA